ACATCGTATCCTCTGCAATACTCCACAGTTCCAGTTGCCTATCTGGAAAAGAAGTCTATTATTACCTTCGTTGACCTCATCACCGCAAATAAAAGGATCTTTGGCTCATAGAACTATCATCCTATATCTAGTGTTTACGTAATGTACGAAACAGAGTAAGCCGAATTCAGTTGTTTCCACAAAGTCTCTAAGGTTGGAAGTTCAGGGCGAGGAAAAGGCAAGCAGGTGAATCTAGCGAGAATCATCCTAGGGCATAAGCCAGCCAGTTGTTCGCAATATCATTTGATCGGTTAGAGAAAAAGCGGTTATCGCCACGCCTGTGAAAGAAGCATAGGAGTATTCTTGCAGGTGGTCAGAGCCCTGTGTGGCGTTGACACCGTCTAAAAGGGTGGGGGGCGAAACTCAGATCCGTCTCCACGAAGCTATTACGCGGGCTACTCGAGCGAACACCCGGTTAGCTCCACTCACCTGCTTAACATCGAGCAGTAGCTACCAACAGGCCAAGTCCAGCCACCTGCCGGTTCTTGGCATAGCTAGCCGTACGCCTCGGCTGCAACAGTGGTAACGGACGACCACCGTTGTGGCGACGTCAACCTACAACAGGAAGATGGCTTACGTTGCTGTTGGGAAACGGGAGAATTTAGGGGAAAACAGAGGTCTAGAAGCCTATGTGCTCGCTTCTCCCAGCTTGGACCCGGTTATGACAGCCAAATGCCGGGAGGAGAAGATTGTTAGGGCAGTACGCCAAGAGGGGAGTCGGCTTAGAACGTTCGCTGGGGCAAGTGGAACGGGTAGATTCGAGCCCCTGGGGCTAAAGTACAAGCAACCCCACTCGATCATCTGTCATCGAGAGCCGATCGTAGATCGCTTGGGCCAGCAATCGAGGAACCGATGGAAGCAGGCAAGAAGTAGTGAGCCAACTCAGACCGAGAAACCGAGAGCAAGTAAGTGCAACATCTGGACCATATCGACTGAAGTTCCCTCACTTCCAGGTTCGGCCCACCTATAATAGATCGGACTGGCTGAACCTACACATAATTCCTTCTGCGGCAAACTGCCAGTGTCAAGGGTTGACCAACCTATGCGCATTCGTGTTTATATATGTACATAGATATACTTATGTATAAGCGCCTGCACGGCCATGAGTACACCAACGTTACATACAATGCAAAGAAAGTCAGGAGGCATCCTAGTATTATTATAATGTACTCGGTTTCAAAACGGGAAGAAAACATCGTCGTAGCAATAGAACGAGTTTTTTTTAAGCACAATATATACGAAACACTTGAACAGGCTTGTGCATATTAGTCTAGCTACTGACGCTTGATTCGAATTTATCATAAAAACCAAGAGTCTCTATCGTTGACGCGAACCAAAATGATATATATATAATATTAATAACAATGATAAATCAGAACGAATGTTTAAAGTGCGAGTTAAATTCGCCAGTTCACGACGCTATTAAGCGAATTCATGCAAAATTTAGGGATCCAATTAAGAAATGTTTTCTTCAGCTATTCGTGTAAAGAAAGTGTTGACCTCCATAGCATGAGGTTTGCGTTAAGATGTTCAGTGGCATGATGAGACAATCACCTCTATATGTAAAAACTTCTTAATTCGTAAAACTAACGAGGAACGGTAGTTAATGTGACATATCTTCCCGATTTTTCTAAGTATTAGGAGACAATAGGCTCGATTGAAAGGAGGATTAAAAAGCTCGAAAAGAAGCCCACTATAAAACAAGCAATGGCACAATGAGATTTCCACCCGCGGTCGGTACGTCCCACGTTGTTCACTACGCGTAAAAATTCAGGTGTATGAGATTAATGCCATGGGTAGCGACGTATCCGACCTTCGTGAATAAAAGTTGCCCTGCAAGCATGACACGGCCATGTTAGAAACATTAAACATGGGTCTAGAGCGGTACGACTAGAGTCTGTTTTAGATTTGGCGTCCTCATAAGCTGACAAATTCACCCTTCAGCAAAGACACGTCACGTGACAAAGTTCTTTTTGTCGCCCCGCATCGTGTATGCGGCATAACACGGAAGCTCGCTTTGGGCTTCACTAGATACGTAAGTACGTCGAAATGCTAAGCGCAGAGTAAGCCCAGCGATGTTGAAGAACCTACAGAGAGTTATTGCAGACAAAGTATTATGCTTTCAAGGCCTACTACATGACACAGTAAGAAGGGGTGGCGATGTATATGTGAGGAAACGGGTATCCTGTTGATAGGAGTACGGACTTCTGTAGAACTCTCTTGACCGGTTTCACCGAGCAAAAATAGGCAACTGTAGCCAGTAAAGGGAAAAGTTCTTGTTGGAGTAATGCGTTTGTTCCCGAGCCAAACATAGCCAGAACGATCCCTAGAACAGGCTATAGGCGGTTCGGCTGCAGGCCGCTATCGTTTCAACTGGTTTCCTTTTTTTGGGGTCATGTATGCTGTACAGATTTGAACTTGAGCAAATTAAGGAAAGCCAGAGAAAGAACTTGCCGTCATCGTTCTTTATTTTTGGGTCAATGACTTCAACTTTCTTGAGTGTTATAATTGGCATTTTTCTTTCTCAAATCCTCTGTTAGTTGGCAGTAAATCAGTATAAGGACGCCTTAGATGACTTTTTGCTGTTCTACAGAAGCGAAATATTGCAGTAGCTTCGCCCGTAGCCACTTTAAAAGGTCTTCATGACATATCTATCACAATTCCGGTTAGAGCGTTATCACATCATTTAGCTAGCTTTTGATAGACAATGGTTTATCGGCAAACTACAAAACAGGCTCAGTGAAACGCAATCTAGCGATTCTGTTTGATTCTGTAGTTATCTATGGTGATGCAATAAAAAGAACAAAGGACTATTTTGGCTCCTCGCCTACAACAAATACCAACAGCTTCGGTACATATAGACCTAGTTACTATTGGTTTTAGATGTCTCAGAAGCTTCTTTTGGAACTGTGGTGCCATCGAGGCATTGTATCACTGACGTATATATACAATCTACAAAGAGAAGATCATAAAAGCGTGTATATGGATTGTGGCAACGAGTAGATGCTGGGTGTTTCCATATACATGTTAAGGAAGATCGAATCCTATACATCAAGAGTAGCGAAGAACAATGTCCGAACCCCTATCCCCCACGATTAGCATCGCCTGGCTAGTGGCTACAGAAGACCCGTAGTTAAGGCGATGCACCTCAATTGCGAGACCGGAATCCACTGTTCAGCAAAAGCAGGGAGAAAGGAGGGCGATAGCAAGCAAAGTCTTCGCAGTAGCAGCGTCTGTCTAATCGCAAAATGCTCACAAAAGGCCGCGTTGATCTACCGCAGATGGGTTTAGTCGAGGTGAAGTGCTTATTACGATATTGAAGCCATTACGATGAATAAGGTGCTAAATACGAACAGGCGTGATGACGTGCCTCGCTAAAGATCACACTCAACGTTGAAATCTGTGATTTTCCTTCATTGAATGTTCATTCTGAAATTGTTTTTATACTATTATATAGTCAAGCGTAAAATATGGAAGAAGCATATACATCTGAAATTGCACCGATTCTCGCAATGTTAGCGGCTCCAGAAAATATTATTTTCGAAAGACTTTTTTTTTTCGAGGGAGTCACCTTCAATAATGCTCTCTATTGTTTAACCGAGGACAAACTTCGGTAGAAGTTCATAATTTATGTAATACAATTATTCCTATCATTTGGTTAACTAATTTAAGTAAAAGGTTAAAAATAGTATCATCATATATCAAATCAATATAATAGAGAAAGCATTTATTAAAAAGTATAAAAGGCCTGATATTTTTAAATTAACAAATATCGTACATTTATACATAAGATTTTACTTAGCCAGCACGTATCTGTCTGGGCATCTGCTAACTAAACACATTGTTTAGAATTTCGGCTAATGGAACGCCAATCTCTGCGCCTATTTTATATAATATTGGAGATGTGTTGCAAGCAACTATTAGCTTGGTGCACAAGGGTTAACGCCTGAGCAGTCTAGCGTTTATAAATCGATGTAATGGTAAGGAGGTTTGATTCTCAATAAAACATCTATAACACAAGTTGGGCTGGGCATTTCCGCGAAGCTCCCTATAATTTTTTTGATGCGGCTCTCATGTCACAGGGCTGGAATCAATGCTTCATATAGTCGTACGTACGGGTTAGACGTATTAAATGAAAGAAAAAAAAAATATATATATATATATATATATATGTATATGGAGACTACAGTTTTTCAATAATAAGACAGATCTGATTAGTAAGCTTACATGCGTTAGCGTTAAATATAACGCATTGCAATTAGATAATAAAGTAACTAAGACTAAGAGAAGATTATTGGAGGCTTAAGGAACGCCTGTCATTGTTGTAAAAAAACGATCTGTGTCACTGACCTATTTTTTTAAAGACTTCAAGTAGTCGCTGATCAACTGAGTTGCAATTATGTTGTTCAAATATAACTGGGTAGTGTGACTGTATGGTTAAATAACAAACTTTTATACTGGCTAGCTAGCTTCGACTGGAGATAGAACGCTGGGTTGAATAGCCTCATTTAGCCGCTTCAATATCTACAACTATCTAAATATCTGCTTAAACTGACCCAATGTAGTAAATACAGAGGGATCATAATCGTCGATTTTACAACTGAATGGAGATTTTACCAGTACTCAGCTTCTATTCGTTGTCATGCCGCGGACACGGATGGAGCGTCTAGTATAAATATAGGTCTATTTTAGGAGAAGAATGAAGACAACTTTATGCGAAAAAACAAAAACGCTTATGTAAAGCTCACAGCTGCAATATTTGTTGACGTTTAGCATAGAATCGATAATTTTTCTGATTGAAATGCGACTGCTTGGATGTGGTTATGGACCAATTGATAAAAATGGTTTATGCACTATATAGGTAACTATTAAACCATCTAGGTAAAAAAAGCTTGTGCCACGGGGTAAGGTCTTCGCGCTTATACCGTTAACAGTTCACATATCACCCATGGTCAGCATAACAAACATCCTACACCCCCCTTCGCTACCCCGATCTAATCATTAGCATTATTCGATCTTAATGTGACGAGATTGAACTCTTTCGATTTGCCCGTTTGCGGCAGCACTCAATAAAACGACACTTCCTTTACCATGAAAAAATAGGCGACGTAGTAGCGAGCTGGAGAACAGGCCGATCGATAGGTGACGTATCTCTTCCACACAGTCCTGACGCGGAGTTCGTCCGAACTCATTGCCTATTGAAGTCTGAGAGACCCGTGTAACCTTAATGCACCAAGCTGCTGTTTTAGCTTTCTGAAAAAAAATTATGCTAATGATTATAATCGCTTGCTTCTTCTAGTCAGTTTTTGTAATGAAAACTGTAGGCACTTTTACGTAATTAGGACAAAATCAATAAATTCTCCATTGTAGACACGTCATTACCAAGCTGATTTAGTTATACTAACGAGCACAATAATCATTGTTCTTTGATGATAATTTTGTGAAGCTCCAAACTGATTTATGATCTACTTCCATTTAATTTGAGATTCAGTACTATTGGCTTTCGTTAGCCAAATGCCCGTCCGGGTGTATTACATTCAATAGACATTTCTGTAACACTTCGCTCGGGGATATTTCTATGACTGTCTGCCCAATCAGGCAAATAAAACAGATACGCCTATTTACACCATAGCACAGCAGTGAAAGCATATGATCTTAGTGATCACGTAGCTATTAATACGGATACAGGAAGAGGCACCTTAAATTTGCAACTAGCGTTTCTTGTCCAAATAGCCAGAGCGTTGCGTTTGCGTTCGTAGCTGACAGAGGGCCGCAAAGGAAGGTAGATAGATTATCGAAATCCATTAATTTCCCCCACAGTTGACGACTAGGAGAAGCTGGCATCATACAGGCTAGGCAAACGAGGACCAAATACAGGGCCACATAACATGTTACAATCGAAAATTACTAAGTGAAATAAAACTTGTCGTGTCGAAGGTGAAGTACGTAGACGAGAACGAGCGTCCATAAGTAGGCAAGTAGTTAACTAGAACAAAGTGTGTAAAAGCCTTATCTATCTCCGGGTTAGGTGACGACCACAACCCAGGCGAGAATTATCAGAAGGAGTGATATGGCTGCTGAGCAGTTATTGTCTATAGTCAGCCGTTTTATTAATCCTAGGGTACTCTATGGTGGATCGGCAACAATAAAATACGATATTTATTTTTGAAATTGGCTTGAAGAGTTCGAAAATCGTATGAAAGCTCGAGACGAGCTACATAATTATTCACGATGTAGGTAATGTATTCGTCTGCTTATCTTGATATACCATTTTGATGAAATAGCACGTATTCTATGAATGTAAGGTCTATCGATCTCTAACTTCTCTTAGTCTTCACCATTCTAACTCACCGTCTCAGATAGCGCTCTCTGCTGAATTTTTTTACCTATATTGCGACTTGATTAAATCCTAATTTTATACGGCCTATGATAACTCTCATCGCTCAGGAAGTATTTTATGACCAGAGGCCGATCGCTGTAGCGAAGCCATTTGGGCAGCAAGAATGTGCTTTCTCGACCCGTACTGGGCCTTTGGCTCGTGAAGGTCGACCCAGGCCATGACTGAACTTTTTTGTGTGCATTTTGAAGCTTAATTCGTCCCTTCGTTTTCACTCGGACTCTAGGGACCGCTTTGGCCGATACCCTAGCGGCCAATTAGAATCGTGATTAACGGCGACTTCAGGATTATCCCGAACGACAGCTCATTTTAAACAAAGCAGTTCCCTACCGTACGCAGAGACACTTTGCACGGACTCAAAGCATAAAAGTAGTAGTAAAGATACAGACGAAGGTTGGCAAAATAATTAACTCTTACTATCTATACATATCTATGTACGTTTATTGCATCACTCACATACATTGTGATCCGGAATTTCAAATGGATGTTTACATTTGATTGAAATAGTAGGCGCTCAGTCGAGACTTTTAGGGCCAATGAAAGTTGTGGCGATTGCCAAGCTCAGCTTACTCGTATAGATATAATGTTTCAAACCTGGGGTGGCTTCTATAGATTTCAGAGGCGTTTTCTAATTAGGTGGTGCAAAACCTGGGTACTTAAAGCGAGTATCTAGCAAATGCAAAATTAATGGATTGTAGTGAAAGAACTCCAGTTTTGACAACTTAGCAACCATAATTATCACCGTTTTTCCACTTCCCTAGATAACCATTGTCTTGGTAAGAAAAATTTACCCGAGTTGACGTGATTGGTCGAGTCCTTACCATAGTGTACGCACATACCGCCATATATTATTCTCTTTAACTGCGGCTTTAAAAGGTTGTAATGCCTAGCTGAGAATTAAGCCGAATCTAAGACATTAATAATCAAATGCAACAACTTAACATTATTTCGCTCTGACCCATTCGTTTAATAAAAAAGTATTTAGGCAGGCTATTGTTTACGTATTTACACACTGCTGTAGCTTTACATCTTACCCCATCGTCAAATCTAGAATTTACCAAGGAAATCGTTTCTTTCACACTTGGCAGCAATTCTAAAGAAGAACTCTCACCGTGTTCTTTCAGTTCCTATTTACTTTCCTTGAAGTGTAAAAAACAACGTAGAGGAACGTTCAGCCTAACCTAGTCGAGTCCCTTTTCTCAGCCCAGCCCTTTTTGTTGAGTTTTCCTAGTTCGTTTTTCTGCCAGTGTGGCTGCAATCGTCCTGTAGTGTTCCTACCGCAGTTGCATCATTGACGGTGACTGCTCGTTGCTGTCGTCGTTGGTGTCCTCCACTGCAGCCCTTGATGCTGTTCGAGATGAGACAAGTAACGAAGGGTAACGTCCCTCTTAGGTTGCTTTCTTACAGCAGACAGTGGAGATAGCACTATGGTGTCGACAGCGCCTGCGCGGTCATCCAGACAGACAGCGGGTTCCAAAAGCTGGGGCAGTGGCTGATTGAACAGAACTACTACTGATGCCACCGACGACCACTGGTATACACCAACGTACGCCATAACCATCACTTCCCCGACTCTCCGATTGGCCTCGATGGGGCTACCACTGCTTGGGCTACTACCACTGTCTCCATCTGTGGCTACGCTAAAAGGCTGGAGCATCTCGTCATTTTCCTTCCCTCTCACTTTTTTCTCTTATCCTTACAAGGAACAAGACGTGAGTCGAATCATTCAGGAGGTGGACTTCGATGACGACAATAAGGAGAGGTCCAGGAAACTGCCGTCAGCAGCACTAGTGACTCTGTCGGCCACCTACTCTGCCACCCCCTACTTCGAAAAATCCCTTGGACAGCTTCGGCTAGTGGACATGGTGGATGATTGATCGATGAAAACTCACAGGTACGCGAAAACGCGGCCAGATATGCGGACTGAGAGACTAGTGAGTTCGACAGAGCGAGGGTCAAAATCGCGAAGAGATAATTTGTTGTTTCCATTCATTTTCTTCCTCTCTGTCCCCTCTTTCTCTCTTGCTTTGCTTTTCACACTCAGAGCACAACTTTTCTCTCACCTACATCGTCGGGCGTCGATCAAGGCTTTGCTTGCCGTCTATCCACGTAGTCACCCGTCCATCTGTTGTGATCGCCGTTGAAGACATCTTCGTCGGAGATCACCGCTCACTGGCTACCTGCTTTATCGTCCACGTTGGTGTCCTCTATCAGCGTGTTTGGAGTTTGCATCTCCTGCAGGGCAGTGGGGTTCCGTGGAAAAACACGAGTAAAAACAGCGCGCGTCGTGTACAGCTTCTAGTAGAGACGAAGCCAGAGACCAGAGATAGCGTCAGTCGTGATAGCACAAGCAGCTGAAGTAAAGTCGTGACATCGGCGGCAGTGGCTGTCTCGTTGTGTTACTAGCAGTGTTTTATATCGAGTAAGAAAGCGAGCACAATTTATAGGGAACGGTGCATTCGTCTTAAGAATTTACGGCTCGTGCTTCAAAGCGCTTTATAGGGAGAAACGTTTACGACACGGTTGCCTTATAAAGGGGTAACTGGGAAGGTAGTGTCTAGAAGAAGACAGGACCTGACAGCAAAAAAAAAAAGCAGAAGTGACTCAGCGCAAGAAACGAAAAGTGTACTCGCGAATATTGTACAAGTAGGAAGAGTCCGAGTAGATAAAGAACATAGAGGGAGCACAGAGAGGTGCACGGGAGCATTTAATTATTGAAGTTCGTTAATCAACAATGGCTTTTAGCGAAACTGCAGTTTAATGGCCATTAAAAAATGTTCTTGACATATTATTGTATTACCAACTCATAAGTTAGATCGAATTCAAGTTGATCATGACGAAAACTAGCCTGTATAGTCATACATTTAAAAATTCTAACAGAGGAACATGTGACTGAAGCAAAGGTAACCATTTCGATTCGGTATGTATTAAATATCCAAGGGATGCTATTAACAAACCCAAAATCCTGCTGTATTTTAAACAGCGTTTTTTTTTTTCATTTCCTTTAAGCCATGCACGGATTGTATTATTCAATATGTAAAGAAAATCCTGGCTTGTGTCTGCATGTTCCATCAAAACAAGGATTAAGGTAACTTTGTGTGTTCCAACTGATTGCCAGCACGATCATATCGATCAGTCTCAGCTTCTAACCCACTGTGTTTTTTCAGGAACTGTTGTCCGCTCTAGTCTAATGTTCCGTGACACACATATAAATAAAAGCTAATCGTGTTTCAAAAACTCATTTCAGAGCTAGATTACAAAAATGTACAATATATATATATATATATATATATATGCTAGACAAAGAAGCCAACGAAAAGACATGGTAGTCTCCTTTTATATCGATCAAATTCCAAATTAAAAGAAAATGAAGTTAGACTTTATTCGTGTGCTACATATGACCGTTTCAGAGGGGCTTCAAAGGTATAGGTAGTAGTATAAACGCATCCGCTTTTCATATATCGCCTACGTCATATACCGCAAACGTCTACGAACACAGGTCTCCGCGGGTGTACTCGTAATTTTTATTGCCACTTTGTGTATCGAACCCCATTATAAGAATTGAGACGTGCGTACATTCGCTTTGCTGCCAGCCAAAAACGAAGTAGCGAGTGTTACTTCATCTCAAATCCGTCACCTACCTCATCCCATTCTCAAAGCTACCGTGAGGTTTTTCCAACTACGTGTGGAGTCGAGTCAGCAAAGCATTTGCCAAAGCGGGGGCCATCAGGGTTAGAAAAGAGAGGTGGGGAGCTGTTGTTGTGAGCAAGGGAACGTATTTTGAGCGGAGGGCAAACATGATTAAAAGGATCGGGAAAAGCAAACACGAAGACAACGACAGCAACACCGATCCAGCAAACAACGCGGACTACCCTTCAGGCAAGCGGTCCAACTCGAGGTGGTTTTTTCATTTTACAAAAAGCTGAAACAAGCCTTTATTCCCTTCGCCTCGGTAGGCACCTCTCTGCTTCGCTCTTCAGTCGAAGTTGATGCCAATAGCGATATACATAACAACACATAAGCTATATAGCATGCACGAGGAGAATTACTAAATGATGGCTCAAAGTATTTGAGACCAGAGACTAAAATCCCTTTTTCATAGTTTTCGACAGATACGAGTTGCCCCTTCGAGCCTTAGTCTGGCATCGCAATTCTTGCCGACTCCCGTATTGCAGCATCAACAATCGTTGCACAGAGCACGGCAACGCCACTAACTGAAATATTTTAGTAACTTTGCGGGTGTAAAATTTTCGAAAGCGCATCGGGTGTCTCAACTTCGTGAATAAAGGCTTGCAGGCTAGTACTACTTTTTCTTCTTTTGCTTCTATGATATGCTGATAGGAACCAAAAAAAAAAATACTTTAAGGTAAATTGGGACGGTTGTATTCGTTTGTGGATGTGCCTACTAATTTCTACATCGAACGAAAGAATGGGCCGCCGGTTGAATGATAGTGGCTGCCTTACTCTTTTTAGTTGACCCGATACTGTGTTCACCTTTTCCTTTCCTGATGATACAGACAATAGACGGGGTCACTCACGTGTTAGGAATTTAAGTTTTTCCAATGATTCGGATGACGAAAATAATGATTCTAATGTTTTTTTTTTTCATAATAAAGATAACGGGTAAGGATCATGTACATCAAATTATATCACAACGATAGTAATTGGTAAAATAAGCCCGCCCCTTTAATTGTTTTTCCTACCTATCGCGACAACCATTTTGATATTTTTTTTTAGCGAGACTTTTTTATTTACTCCATCCATAGGTATTGTTTTTTGTATGCTAGTCAGTTCTATAACGACGTACTTTTTTATAGGTTATCTTAAAACTATCATATTAAACAAATGATAAAGTATCCATAAGTAGTAGACTATACACAAAGTTAATGACTCATCCATAGTTTCTAACTACTATAATAGTGGTTGAAGAGATAATTGAAGGAAAATCGTACCGCATTACGTCTGCATGTAAAACCCTCCAAGCTTCATCTATCATTTTGTCTTCGTGGAATACAGTCGTTCATGTCGATACAAATTAAGTTTCAATAGAGTGTAAGGTTGCACGAAGCAGGTGGACACGGATGTATAAGAACTTGAAGCCAGTCTTTCATCGTTTTAAATTAGTAAAATTTCCTATATAAGCTCATATGAACAGTTCCCACAAAAGGTGCCACCGACCTCTGATTTAGCCCTCTG